GTCCCCACGCTCAGACCAGCGGCACGTTTGGATACAATTGGGGACAGAGGTCACTGCAGCCTAACACCTCATTTCCACCCAAAAAAAAAAAAAAAAATAGCCTGGAGTGACAAATTCCTGCGAGTGGGGAGACAGACACGCACAGCCCCCAAATTCCATAGGGGGCAACCCCCCCGTGCCCTGCCAGGATGAGCAGGAGGGGGACGCAGTGACCGTGCCCCCAGGCTCCACGGCACACGCAGCCCAGCCCCGGCTTCCCCGGGGGGTCACCCTGCAAGGAGTGGTCGGGAGCATCGCGGGCAGCTTGCCTGGCAGCGGGAGCACCAGCACCGGCCAAGTATGACGAGCACGGCACGTAGGCGGCAAGGAGCTCAGGGACAGTCCTGCCGTCGGGGATTAGCAGCCCAACTTCTCCAGCAGAGAGGGGAGGAACTGTGCCAGAGCAGCCTCAGGCCATGGTGATTGCTTCATTAACCACCTTCACCATAAACCGAGCCCAAATGACAAACGATGATGCTTGCTTTGATCACACTCCTCCCAGAAAAGCTGGGGAGGTTCTGGCACGCCCAAACGGCAGCTCCCCTGTTCCCCGACTCGACCAGGCGCAACTTCTGCCACCGAGCAGACTGCCGAGACGGCCTGGGAGAGGACTTGCCTTTGGCACAAGGGCAAGATGCAAACAAAATGATGGATCTCTTGAGGCCTGGCTGTCAAGGGCAATCTGGTCTATTATAAATCACACTGGCCATTTAAATGCAGCTGGGTTTAATGCAGAAGGCAAGAATTAGGTCATTTGAGGAGTTAAAGGCACCCTAGCAATGAGTGTCAAACTGTCCCCCCCTCCCACCGAGGTCAAGTAAACAGGCTTGGGGACATGGGACTGTCACCATCCCCAAGTGTTCCTTCCTGACACACAGGGCTTCGGCCACCTGTACAAACAGGGAGAGCAGCGACATGGGAAGACCGTGATGCACTGCGCAGCACCGCGTCTGCAACTGAGAGGCACGGAGGGCTCGTGTCGCATGGGCCATCGTGCTGCCCGGGCAGGCTTTGCACCTCTGCACAAGCAAGCGAGCTTTGCTCACCATCTCTTGTGCTTCCTCCGCTTGGCACGGACTTGTGGCTGCAAGAAGGTTCCCAAATAGCACAGAGCTTTTGAAAAAGCAGCCCCGCAGCAGCTCAGCGCAGTACCAAACAGCCGTTTCACAGGTCCAGTGAAGCGGGAGGGCAGGGGGGCCCACAGCCCTCCTCCTGCTCCGCAGGGCTAACAAAGCAAGCTGTGAACCAGACGTAATGGAGCAATGCCCAGAGTCAGTTGTTCTCACTATGTTTGCTGAACCCCAGCCACAACTTACACATCCTAGAGGGATAATTGGTTTTATTTGGTATGTCACAACGGTTTAGTTTGTATTTAATGGCTCTATAAAATCTTAGTAAATGCAGCTTTTTCCGTTAAAGAGAAACGCCACCCCTGATGTCTGTGCAACCGGACAGTAATGCTTGGCTCATTTTCTCCTAACTGCAAAACGCACAGGAGCTTTTTACTCTGACGTTAAGTTTCCTTAAACTGCTCTAATGCCTGCAGGGGCACGTGGGGGTGAGAGTGCAGCCGAGCATTCAGGATCTGGGAGAGAGTAATTTCCATCTCACCTAGGCTGCACCGAGCTTTTCTTTAGGCCGCCTGACCACCAAGTCAGATGCTGCCTGCGCTAACGAGGACCAGAAGTCATCAGGAGTTGAAGGTAAATTAAGAATTTGACATTGACCTTCACAACCTGCACCACACAGTTCCTGGTGATCATTTCAGGCTGCGTTTCCCCAACAGACTTCACAAAACCAAACCTTTGTGGTAGAAGCTGCCTTCAGAGCCTGCTACACACCCACACAGAGGCTGGCCGAGGGTTAGTCTGTGACAAGCAGTGACCTTTCTAGCCGCCAGCACGCTTTGCCACCCCGCTTCGATCGCACAGCACAGCGGCACCTCTCGCTGCAGCCCTGCTCATTTTTGCTTTGCTGATTCCCCCAGCAGCTCCCATCAAACAGCTCCAGCGACAGGACGGACGTGTATTACCGGAGCCTGCCATGCAAGCAGGAAAGCTCCGGAGAGCCAGGTCAGGTGCTGCCAGCCCCAGCGTGATGTGCACAGCCAGGGGGGGAATGTCAGGAGCTCCAGGGGCAGCCAGCAGCACCCCATCCCAGCCTTTCCGCAGGGAAAGCGCAGCGGGAAACGCCGAGGCTTTGGCTGCAGCCAGGCATGCGTGGGCAGAACGGCACTGCGGGTCTGGGGCTGGCTGGTGCTCCAGGGAGGTTTGTAGTGGGCACCGTCACTCTTCCTGCAGCTCCTTCTTCCGAAAGGCCTGCAGCCTCCTGCCCACCGTCTGCTGGACGATCTCCAGACCCTCTGCGTCCAGTTCCTTCATGAGAAGCAGGATGGCGTTCAGGACATTGTTCTGTCGGGGCGAGACAGACACTGCTTTATACAAGCATGTTAACGCCAACCTGGAAAAGGACGCTTGATTTTCAAAGAGCTGCTCTTTCTAAGAATTCCACCACCACCACCAGTTTGCAACAGCCACCTGCAGCTACAGGGACAGATCAACCAAGTCCTCGGGGCACACATGGGCAGCGACTACAACTGGAATGCAGGACAAACCCGTCTGCCCAGTCCCGCATGGACTGCCCACATGCCTCTGGCTCCTGGCCACACTCCCGACTGGCTTCTCTAAGGAAAGGCCATTCAAAAGCAGCCGCCCTCTCTCTCCAGCATGACTGCGTGTGGGATGGAAAGGACACGAGCCCTCTGATCTGAGGAGGAAGAAGAGCTGGTAGAATCGCAAAGCATGAGCTGGAAGGAACCCCTGAAGGCCTCCAGCCCAACGTCCCACCCACGCAGGGCTACCGCCAACACCAGACCACGGCTCTGTCAAACCACGTCTTGAAAAACTCCAGGGAGAGATTCCGCAGCCGCTCTAAATAACTCTCCTTCTAGGGAAAATCCTTTTCCTACCATCCAACCTGAATGTCCCCAGCTGCAATCTGTGGCCACTTCCCCTTTTTTAATATTTTCCTGAAGGCCAGAGCTTGCGGTACTACTCATGATGCTGCTATGGAATACACTCATATACACTTATAACACATGAACGAGAGAGAGATCACAGGCAACTAATACCAAAATGAGGTAGACCATGATCTAGATCTCACCCAGGCTGTCCTGTGCCGATCAAAGCGATGGCCCCGAGCCCCGCAGACACCAATTCCCAGCTGAACAGCCAAGACCCATGAGGTTTCCCCAAGGCTACACCATGGAGGGGTCTGAGGAACCACCTAAGCTTTCAATTCAGCAGTCTCCTTCCCACCAGGCCAACAGTCTGCTGGCTGCGCTTCAGCCGCTGCCCAACTGCCACGTGTTCTTTGCACAACCCCAGTGAAGGGACACACACGAGCTTGTGTGCAGACAGATCGAGAGGACAGACTCCATCAGGCTTTCTTTACATTGCAAGATGTCTTAAAGATAGAACAGAATAGTTTCCGTTGGAAGGGACCTACAACGACCATCTAGTCCAACTGCCTGACCACTTCAGGGCTGACCAAGTTCAAGAACGTCGTTACGGGCATTAAACCCTGACAGGCTTGGGGCATCAACCACCTCTCCAGGAAGCCTGCTGCAGTGCCTGACCACCCTCTCGGTAACGAAATGCTTCCTAACATCCAGTCTGATCCTCCTCTGGTGCAGCTTTGAGCCATTCCCAGGTGTCCTGTCCCTGGATCCCAGAGAGAGAAGAGCTCAGCAACTCCCTCTCCACGTCCCCTCCTCAGGAAGCTGCAGAGAGCAACGAGGTCACCCGTCACCCTCCTTTTCTCCAAACTAGCCCTGCCCAAAGTCCTCCTCACTCCTCACAGGACGTGCCTTCCAGCCCTTCACCAGCTGGAAGCTGGTTGCTCTCTTCCGGATACATTCCAGTACCTTAACATCCTCGTGAAGTGTGGGGCCCAGAGCTGCACACGATGAAAAGCAATTTGGTCTTTAAAAGCTACTCACTCTCTTCTTTCGGTTGCAGTCTGTCTCTCGAGGTGAAAAGGAGGAAAATTTATCCCTGGGAACAGGCTTCATACCAAGCTCCTCTCGAATTTTGCTAAAGAAGGGGAGGAAGAACAAATGTTATTAGGACCAGCTTGCAGAACCTTCCTCTGCCAGGCTAATCCTTTCTAATCACGGGCAACCATGCAAGAAGAACCCAGCTGAAGGACTCAAGGCACGCCTATTCACACACCACAACACCCCAAGCAAAACTCCCACGCGTAGCAAGAGCCTCACAGCTATAAAGTGTAAACCAGGACGCTGCTACAAGGTGTCTGGGATGACAGATTCCCATGCCTGACGCCAGCTGGGACTGCAGACCACGTAACACTGCACTTGACCAACACATGCCGCAGCGCTGACACGTGCGTCGCGTCGCAAAGCAGGAATAGGCTGGAGCTCACACTTCAGAGAGGATCCATCTCTGTCTGCACACGCAGCTGACACGCTTGAGAGCAAGTACCCACCTATGGAAAAGCCTGTTTTGCAGATACAGAACCAGACCCACAAGTGCTATTAAACCAGCACAGCTCCACCACGGTTAACTGGAACAACGGGAATTTGCACCAGCTGCAGGCCCGGCCCACGGAGTATCAGGGTTGGCTGGCCAAGGTCCTTTCATGCCACACACGAGTTCAGCCCAGAAATTCTAACAGCTCACAAGCAAGCCCTCACTTTGTCTCCTCCAGACTGAAGTTCAGCAGCTCACTCTCGGTCTCCGTTGTGGATTCAGCAGCACTGGATTCAGTGGACTCGGGGCAGCCATTCTCCACGCTCCTCCTGGCTGGTGGGGCCGTGATCTCCTCGCCGTCAACCAGGGCCTGGGACAGTTCTTCTTCCGTCACAGCTGCAAAAGACAAACCAAAACCGTGCTGCGATGAACTCCAGCACAGCCCAGGAAGACAGCATCTGTATCGAGGCACGTACTGCTGGTACAGAGGTATACTGCAGGGGTTTGGTCCAAAAATTGTCCTTTGCACTGGCCTTTGGCTTTCATCCTTGTCCTGCAGTAAAAGTCCTGCAGGAGAATGCCGGCAGCTGTCACCAGTCCCTCAAAGTGGGAAAGATATCAGGGAGGGATGCAAACATGCTTTGCCATTTCTTGTCTCTGGAGAAGGCTCCAAAAGCCACCAAATTACTGCTACCAGGCAGAAAAGCCTCTCTTTTTTTTGTTTTCATGATAGCAGATCCAATTACAGAATCTTTGTTTTGCCACAGCAAAGGAGAGAGCTCTAAAAGAACCACTAATTAGCGGCACTGTCTCAGCTATAATGAGGCGCTCTCAGTCCCGCTAATGTTAACTCTGACGCTGCAGGGAAGGGAGAAAACAGCTTAGGAGCGGTGGATCTGGCGGAGGCGATGCTCAACCTCAGATCCCGCCTGGCTGAGCATCACCACCACATCAAGGGAGAGTCAAAGGACACCTTAAGGAGAGGAACCAACACATCACCAGTTTTCCACAGTTCACCCTGCCCACGGTTTAGGGCCGTTCGTTTACCTGCAGACACCCACCTTGGTTATCAAGCTTCTGTAGGCTGGGTAGGTTACGCAGCACCGTCATTCGGTAGCGGTGGGGGTCCGACCCACAACAGGGATTTTCAGACAGCCACAGGACCCTCAGCCGGGGTAGGTTTTTGAGGTAGAAGAGCTCATTTAGGCTTGTAATGTTGTTCTTCCTCAGATAGAGTTCACTCAGATTCTGGCATTGATTCAGTGGCTCGAGGTCTGAGATGCCGTTCACACTGGAGAGAGATTGTAGGATCAGAGACGAGAGTGCCCATCCCTCCCTTACTGGGAGCACAGAGCCCCTGTAGCACAGCCGCTTTCGAGCCCCCCCCCTTGCCCTCGCACCGGTGCAGCACACGGGATGTTCAGGGACCTATGGTGCTGCACAGAACAAAAAGATAGCGTTTCACCTTTCTAAACAGAGGAAAGAACTAAAAAAGCAGGCTCTCCTCTCTGCTGAGGATGACAGCCTTCGCTTCCCCCAAACACCCGTCACTTGCACCCTTTTCTGTAGCAGTCCCCCAGGCTCACTGAAGGAGAATCCATATAAGATTTCCATGCTAACAGGCTCAGATCCACAGACAACATTGGCTCCACGGGATCCCCAGGACAGGTGAAGGATGGGTGTGTTGGGGGGAGGCATAGGGAAATGAAAAGTTTTGTGAGATCCATGAGGGATTTCAACAAGCGTTCTGCAAACCGGCCCCATACAGAGGCCTGGAAGATCCCATCTAAACTATGGAACAGGACTTAGGGAGCAACAATCCTAAGAGGTTTTAACACCTCTCGAAATCAGGATTATTTTCTCGAGCAGCAAAGGGAAAGGTGCACAGGAACTACCAGAATAATCATTTCTGCATCTCTGCCGCTTGAGAAATCAGGCAAGAGGAGGCAGGCAGCTCAGACACATAACCACAGAAAGGTGCTAAGAAACCAAAGGCCGAGCCACAGCCCCATGAGGCCATTTCCCCCGTCCCCTCCAAGGCCAGCAGCCCGACATTCACCTGAACGTGATCACCTCGATGTTGGGCAAATCCCGGCATATTGATATCTGGGCAGGAAGAGACAGAAACAGCAAGTTGGCACTCCCAGGGAAAAAAAAAAAGCAATTTATATCACTAACAAGCCAAGATAGAAAGCAAGAACAGGAATTTAGGTTTGCTTCAGTTTAACCCAAGCTTAACACCACCACACAGATTTGCTGCCACAGTCATTGCAGAGTCAGCAGCTCCTCCGCCCTCTCCACCCGAGAGGGGAAGCACAGACACCAGCCAGCACCACATCGCTCTTCTGCTCCAGCAACTCTGCAGTCTGAGATGGTTTTCCAGCCACTGCACATAAGAAGGCATCCCTCTTACCCCAGACAGCCCTCTCCTAAAGCCTCAAATAGATGAGGCAGGACTCAGGGTCCCACTGTCCAGAGGTCTGTGCAGGGCCTCAGAGAGGAATTTTCCAACACTCTCTGGAAACAACAGCAATTTATTTTTTTTTTTTTAATGAGATGCTAATCAATCCTGAAAAGCTCTGCAGCTCGCCAGCACCAGGCCAGCCCAAACCCAGGCCTGCGCCCTCCTCAGTGCCCCATCAGCCCCATCCCTGCCCTGCTCCAGCTGCCAGTCCAGGCTACGGCTCCCCTCCAGCAGCACCGCACAGGCCGCAGGCTGGGGCTCAGCGATGGGAGCCACGGGGTCCCTCCTCGCTGGAGCGGGGCTGTGCGGTACTTACATCCGTCAGGTGG